ACCCGCTGAGCCCGCCCGAGCGCACGGCGCAGGGCGTGCGGTACCGCCTGGGCGTGATCGCCGACCTGGACACGGACTCGCGCAGCGCCAAGGAGCAGACCTGGTTCAGCTACATGCGCCGGGGCCACGTGCTGGTGTCGGAGAGCGGGGACTCGGTGAGGGTGGAGTGGGACAAGGAGGACGCGGTGCTGGAGACGCACCTGGCCGAGAAGGGCCGGGGCATGGAGCTGTCGGAGCTGGTGGCGTTCAACGGGCAGCTGTACAGCGTGGACGACCGCACTGGCGTGGTGTACCGCATCACGGGCAACAGGGCCGTGCCCTGGGTCATCCTCCCCGATGGCGATGGCTCCGTCTCTAAAGGTTCGTGCCACCTCCTCAGCCTGGGCACGCCGTCTGGACTTCTGCAGGCTGTAAACTGGTGATCCTTGGGAGTTTCAGCCAGGTGCTATTTATGGATGAAATCATCGCTTGAAATGTATTTTAATAATAATGTAATTATTTATAATAGTTTAATATTTACATTATTTAATTATTATTTAATGAACGCGCTTTTCTGGACACTACACTTTACTTATATATATATAGCACTTTACTGGTAATGGGGTAAGTGGTAACTCCCCTCCACTACCACCACCAGAGTGTAGCTTCACCTGGATGATGCACCAGTCCGCTCCCCACACGCCAGCTCTCAGTGGGGAGGAGAGCAGAGTGATGAAGCCAGTTCAGAGATGGGGGTTATTAGGAGGCCATGATTGGTAAAGGACAGGGGCAAATTTGGCCAGGATGCTGGGGTAACACCCCTACAATTTTTGGAAAATGCCCTGGAATTTTTAATAACCATAGAGAGTCGGGACCTCAGTTTTTCTTCTCATCCGAAGGATGGTGCCTTTTTACAGTATAGGGTCCCCATCACCATACTGGGGGGAACAAGACCCATGCAGACTTCTGAGGGTAGCGCCCCCCTACTGGCCCCACTATCACCTCTTCCAGCAGCAGCCTGAGCTTTCCCAGGAGGTCTCCCATCCAGGTACTGACCAGGCTCACACCTGCTTAGCTTCAGTGTGCTGCCAGCTGTGAGTTGCAGAGTGATATGGCTTTTGGTAACCATCCCTTGACCGAGGTTCTCTGCTGCAAAGGAACAGGCAAAGATTTATTGCTTGCTGAAAGGAAAAGAAGAGACACAACATTTCGTCTGTGGAGCCTTCTTATCCAGGTGTCAGGAGGTTCTTTGCGATCATGTTTTGAAGCGCACACAGTATTTTGCTCTTTGTCTCCCTCTAGTGGCTGATGAGCCGAAGGTCAACAGCACAGGTTTCAATTTCACTTTTAGGCCTACTGGTCCTTCTAAACGCCCTGCTGGGGAACTCGGGGTGCCGTGGCGAATCAGTGGGATGCTGACAGTCGCCTCTCCCTCGCAGGGTTCAAGGCGGAGTGGCTGGCGGTGAAGGACGAGCGGCTCTACGTGGGGGGCCTGGGGAAGGAGTGGACCACCACCACTGGGGAGGTGGTGAACGAGAACCCCCAGTGGGTGAAGGTGGTGGGGTACCAGGGGGATGTGGAGCACGAGAACTGGGTGCCCCAGTACAACGCCCTGCGAGCCGCCGCGGGCATCACCCCCCCAGGTGAGGACTGGGGAAGGGCAGTGAGGGGTGAGGGGGAGTGATCTCCGTGACGGGACTGAGGGTCGACTGTTTAGGCGTCTCTGCCTCCTGAGCAAGGAAAACCGAATTCCCAAGAAGGGCAGCTGTTTCTAGGTACAGGGGGGGATCATGCAGAAGACAGAGAGCTCCTTTTCCAGCTTCCTTTCAAGTTTTTGTGCCGACCCTGTAACAGCGCTATGATGCAATATTGATAGGAAGGTTTTGGAAAAAATTGGATTCATCCATCTATCCAGTTTGGGGGTTATTGGGGAGTTGGAGCCTATCCCAGCAAATCCAGTCAATCCCATGGCCCACAGACACACACATACTTGCACCAGGGCCAGTCTTCCCAGAAGCAAATTAGTCCCCCAGCATGTTTTTGGACTTTGGGGGGGGAAACTGGAGCGCCTGGAGGAAACCCTGTTGAACACGGGGAGAACACACAAACTCCTCACAGATAGTACTTCAGGTCAGAACTTGAAGCAGTGCTCACCACTGTAACGCAGCGCCACCCATGATCCCGATTTACTAATCTGCACAATCATTTGAGCAGTAAAAACTATGTACGAAGACCGGTTTTTGAACAAATCTGTAATTCCCGTCTGTCCGCCCGTACAGGCTACCTCATCCACGAGTCGGCGGCGTGGAGCGACACCCTGCAGCGCTGGTTCTTCCTGCCGCGCCGCGCCAGCGCCGAGCGCTACGACGAGAAGGCGGACGAGCGCCGCGGCACCAACCTGGTCCTGAGCTGCTCGCCCGACTTCCGCCACATCCAGGTCAGCCGGGTGGGCCAGCTCGACCCCACGCACGGCTTCTCCTCCTTCAAGTTCGTCCCCGACACCGACGACCAGATCGTCCTGGCGCTCAAGTCCGAGGAGGACGCCGGCAAGATCGCCACCTACATCCTGGCGTTCACCCTGGACGGGCGCATCCTGATGCCCGAGACCAAGATCGGGGACGTGAAGTACGAGGGGCTGGAGTTCATCTAGAGAGCTCAGGCGTCAGGCGTCAGGCGTCGTTTTTCTGACAGTCGTTCCGAGGGGGGGGGGCAGATAAGTGCCCTTTCTGAGAGATGGGCCGCGGCGGTGCGGCGTTTCCTCTTGACTGTGCGTTTCGGCCTGGTCCGCCAGGCTTGGCTCACGGTATCCGTGACAACGGGCCCCCCCCTCCGGCCTCTCCCCAACAACTCTGCAGCCTCACCCTCGACAAGTTTCTGACTTTCTGGAGAGGAGTTTAAAAAGCCAGTCACCTCATCTTTAACAAAATGTGCTGTACGTTTATCGTTAAGGGACCTTGAAACGCCAAGAACAACCACTGCAGAGAAATGACAGTGTATCCTCAAACCTGACTAGATCCATTTACGTTTACTGTTCGTGAAAGACGCTTGCAGGTCTGACACTGTTTGCTTACTTGAGGTCGGCGTGTTTTATTTTTATTTTTTAGGATTGTTTTTAATCTTTGTTTTTTTTTTGTTTTTAAAAAAACAAATGTGAACAAAAGTTCTGCATCGCCTCGAGGATCAGTTGTAAAGTTTTGTTTTCCCCAGTAAAAAAAAAATATCTTCAATAAACACTCGTGATGTTCCCGTTTTCTTTTTGTTCAACGCCGAGATGAAATTTCGTTTCTATCCGGGGCGGCCCATGTGATTTCCAGGAAGAGGGTCGAAGTGAAACTCCTGCTAATCCAGTTGTAGGACTGTAGCTGGTCCCCGTCTGCAGGGCTTAGTGCAGCTCTATCGCTGAAAGATTTGGGGTTTGACACTTTGATTCTCGGTGTCGGCGGGTAAGACGCTTTGAATGCATTCTTTCCGAATCGTTAACCGGACCACATTTCAGGACATTTCAGTCGCAGATCTTATCTTTGATCTGCTGATTAAAACATCGGGTTTTTCTAAATGATCTTGGTCTTTTATGCCGCAACTGAAAGACTTAACTGTAAAATGTAAGCAGGCTTGTGAAGTTTAGTGTAGCTGAGTAGATCCAAATGAATGTAAGCTGAGGCTGTTTCAAAGCTGTGCATCTGTGTCTAGCCCAGAATTTAAAGTTAGTGTAGCCCAGGCTTTATTCAAATAGGGTTTTTTTCTAGAGCGTTATTGTCAGTTACAGAATACTCTAAAGTGCATTTTAAAACCGTGGGTTTACACGATCTTACATGTCGGTGTTCCGGGAACAAAAGCCTTTATCCTAAAAAATAATTTTGCTAGAATTTCTTCCAATACGTTTTAAGCATGTGTCCCCGTTGAATTTTTCAGACCAAAAAGGAAACGGGTGAATTGTTTTTTTAGAAATTACCTAGATTATTAAGTTTCGATTTTGAGTGGGTTTTTTTTTTGCTATTAACGTGTGATGCTCGCAAAGAAATATATTCTAATAATGCCGTTTAACGGACTAGTATGAGGCTTGGAACAGTTTTACCTCAGAGGTAAGTGAGGAAGACCAGATAACCGCACTTTTAACTATCCTGTGTCTTTATTTCTCGTAATTGAACTGGTCAGTAATTATTTAAACAGCTGCCACTTCAAAGCCAGTTACATTAAGTGCAGAGATTAGTCTACTGAGGATTAGTATGGTATTTTGATGAACTTTGATTTGCGGTTTATAAAAAAAAATACCTCGATGGTTGATTCACCGTTAAAGTTTGCTAGGGTGCCTGACGGCAGTATGGCATTTTTTTGTATCCCTACATGCCTACATTTTTTAACCGCATCTTACAATACAAGCTCCATGCAGACAGCACCCCGGGTCTCCGGAATTGAACCCAGGACCCCAGCGCTGCGAGGCGATAAATCTGACCGCTGTGCCGCTCGTTCTTGTTATTATAAAAATAAATCGCGGAGGAGATTTTCACTTTTAAAAACTGGATACTTATGACCTGTGTTCATAGATGGCATGCTGTTTTCCTTTTAATTATGAAATGTTAAGGAACGTTTTCAATGTTCCAGTTTGCGAAGACTGCACAGGGATTGTGAAAAGTTGATTCGTGTTTTGTATTTTTGTAGTGTTTGAAAATCCGTTTTACCTCATGTAAACCAGCTCCTATGTCTTCTATTTCTCCTTATTTATTTATCACAGTCACACTTCCCCTTACTCGCGTCTCTGCTTGAACTGGGACTCGTGTACGGTTTTCCATTTGAATTGCATTGTACTGTCTGAAGGGACCTGCTTTAGTCTGCACTGGGGTGTTTCTTTACAGTCTGTTCTTGGCAGCCTAGGTTGGCAACAGCAGAATTGGTAAGTGCCATTTGTCTGCTTTGAAGACGCATACCGGCAGCCTGGGTCGGGTCTTTTTCATTAGAAATGATGCATGATACATTAATAGAACTTGTGTAGAACGTAGTCGTGGCTTTGTTGTATGTTTTGTATTTTTTTTTTTGTTGTTGTTGTTGTTGTTGTTGTTCTCTAAAAAACGTTTTTGTGTGTTAATTCTTGATATGTTAGTTCTTAGAACCTTACAACAGTAGGAAGAATGTAAGTCGTGTTAGGACTGAGTAGACCACTCGTGTGAGGTGTGTTTCCTTCCAACTCAGATCCTACTGAGCTAAACCAGCTGCTTACTGGCTTAACTGGACCAATTCACTAGCTTGTCTCAGCTCTTCGGGTGCTGGGGCTTTGAAGGGACCCGGATAGCCTGTAGATACACCAGACCTCCAGTACCAGGAATGGACAATGCGAAACAAAGTGGAAAAACAGACTAGCGTCTAAGCACTACAGCACATACAGTATACTGCACAGTACTTGCCGGTACGGAAACCTCTTCTGTACTGTACATGTTTGTGGTTTGTGCTATTCGAGTCCAGGGAAGTGAGAAGTCCTTTTGACAGCAGAAATCGCATTTCACTTCCTCCTCTCTGTTTTGTTTCTGTTGTCGTTCCAGACAAGTTCGTTTCCTTCCAGTCGTGCCGTGAAGATGCGAGTGTGCAGTTTCGCTGCCGCTTTGGCGGCGCTGCTCCTGCTGCTGCAGGCGAGACCGGACGCAGGTGAGAAGGAAGGCTCACGAAAACTCAGTTTACGGTCTCACCAGTAGGTGGCACTGTTTGTCTGGGTTTTCGATTAGTCCACTTATTTCAAGTTAAACTTGTGAGTAGAAAGAACATACCAGAGCACGTCTCATCAATGTCTGAACACAAGCGAAACTGGCGAATGCTGAAGGATCAACTTGTCCACAAGATGACAGATCAAGGTTAAAAGTGAGGCTGTTGTATGTAGAAATTGTTCTCCATGGTGAATAGTTAATTACAGTCAATGGGATTTTTGTGTAGTGTATGCTCAATATGACGACGAATCTTTATAAAGAGCGTTGTTTTCCAAAAACACATATTCGGAATCAAGTCTTTTCGAGACATTGTAGTAAAAGGTGTAGAAATAAAGGGGACTTTGAGAAAGACAACTGGAAGCTTCTCTGCATTGCGGTCTCTCGGGAGCTCACGGCGGCCTCCGGCTCTCCCCCCTGCAGCAGCGAGCAACGGGGACGTGAGGCTGGTGGGGGGCGCGTCCTCCTCTGAGGGCCGAGTGGAGGTGTATTACACCGGGAGCTGGGGGACGGTCTGTGACGACAGCTGGGATATAGCCGACGCCACGGTCGTGTGTCGCTCGCTGGGATTCGCCAACGCCACCTCCGCCGTCACGGGGGCCACGTTCGGGGCAGGTGAGTCACCTGGCTGGGCTCGAGGAGGGGAAGCTGAAGACACGGAGTGGGTCCGGGCGCTCACAGGTCGCCTGCCGGCCGGCTTGGCTCCGGGGGTATCTCGAACAGTGGCGCACAAGCTCCTTTTACCCAAAAGAAGGTTTTCCCAACGGTTTTAGCCAGTATTTGGAGTCTTCCCTAGCGTCAGGCGGCTTCTGTCAATCGAAATGATCCAGTCACAGGAGGCGCCCACATGATCATCTATCTGAACCCGCGGCAGCAAATGTTGCTTACGGTACCACGGCAGAGAAATACAAGTTGAAAATGGGAAATGCCATTTTCAACTTAACAGGTTTTTGCTCCCTTATTTATTCTTCTGTTTTGTTCATGCCTTTATCAGAAGCAGCCTCACATAATCACAATTGCCCGAGACACAGATTTTTAATGCTCCACACCACAATTGAATTCCTTTTCTTAAAGGATGACCTTTAACAGAAAGAGGTTTGCTATTGCTATATAAAAGGCTTACAATAGTGATGACCTGAGGTCTAGCCATTCAAGCTCACAAGCCACATAGATAATTTTATCTTTCTTAAACTCGCTATATGTATTATACAGTATACACCGTGTTGTAGACAATATACACTGTGTTCCAGGAACAGAAACCAGACTTCATTTTAATAGGAGGAAGTCCGCGGTGGAAACTGTAATTCGTTAAGCCTGAGTTTCAGACGAACACTCTTTCTGCTGCGCTGTCTGGTCCTTGTCCGATTCCCCCCTGTTCTCTCCCTCTCTCTCTGCCTCTCTGCCCGTCCCCAGGCTCTGGCAGGATCTGGCTGGACGATGTGAGCTGTCGGGGGACAGAGAGCTCGCTGGCCCTGTGCAAGTTCAAGGGCTGGGGCATCACCGACTGCCAACACTCTGAAGACGCCGGGGTCCGCTGCCAAAAGAGTAAGTATTCAGCACCCCGCTTAGTAAATAATGCCTCATACGTATAAACTGTTTTACTGGGAC